GACCTGTTAATCCATCAAACACTTTCCTGGAGCTCTAATCACCTGATGATTTAATAAAAACTTCCTCAATATATGATTGACCCAAAAAAGTTAATTACTTTTTTAAAGAGGACATATCATCCCCCTTCTCCACCTTTTCAAACAGTCCCCTGTGGTCTAAATTAAAACATCTGTGCTGTGCTTTGGTCAAAATATAACATGAATCAAACACCAGAGGAGGTTTGTGACCCTGTATAAACCAGTTTGGTGTGTGTGTCTCTTTAAATGTAATGTGTAGTAAGACTTATGCAGACTACAAACAAAGGACTGGGTGGGTTTATTTCACATGTTGTGGGTCAGTAGACACTCAGGTTACCCAAATATATGTTCAGAAACACTGTGAATGTGGATTTTTCATAAAATGTCCCCTTTAAAAACATCTCATCCATGACTCACCAGAAGCAATCCTCAGTATTTTCCTTATGTGTCTTGTATACATAGGCTGTCTCCCAGGGAGGCTTAATTGTGTTGCTGTGTTTCCAAAAGTGGATGAAAAAGTTAGAGATCTTGCGTGCGGGCGGTAGGAGGCGCTGCAGGTTGAGCGCAAAGTCACAGGACATGCCAAAACTTCCCGCTGAGATGATGGGAGTGCTGAGCTTCAGACCTTTCTCAGCACTGACAGAGAGGAAACATAAAATAACTGTTGTCACACATTGTGGTTACTGACAGGTGATTTTATATTTATCTGCATCAGTGTGAACGTGACTCACTCAACCATAGGGAAAGTAGCGTAGGTGCAGGTGGGCCCAAGCACTGCACATCCCAAGTTACTTGAATTCTGCCAAAGAAAACCAATAAGTATATTTGTCTGTGGGAGTGGCTGTTATTGATTAGTACTGTGTGACACCCATGTGTATCCTGCCTTTCTCCCAAAATGAAAATGTTTCTTAACAAATTAACTCTCTCTGCCTCTATAATCAAAGTCTATGAAAGTTGGGAAGACTGTCCCAGGATAGGAAAAAAAGGGAGGGACAGATTTGAAATAACCGTATCCACGAGGAAGTATTGAAGCAACCCGTTGAAGTTTTCGCAAATGCTCTGGGTGATGTTGAGATCGCAAAAAACTGTTAGAACGGCGACCTCCCACCCTAGCTTATGACATAGCCCATGGCCATGAAACCACCAGACAGGCAGCCTCACATGTCGCCAGCCTCGGACCTTCAGGTTAACACATGGTAGCCGGTGGAGTATGTAGTAATAGCCACATTAAAGAGCCCTTTAAAGGGGAAGGAGTGCTGAGCCCCACCAAATGCTTTGTTGAGAAGCACAAAGTATTGGCTGCACGTGTTCTCATGAAAGACCAGCCCTTTAAAGCTGTACCCCTCTGCATCTTCAACCCCGGGAATGCATTGTGGTCTAACCTCTCCACAACCTGGCCAAGAAGTATCTTAGTTTTGGTGGTCTACAGACTCAATACTACCAGAGGACCGAGCTCTCTGCTGCCTCACATTCACCAGTTGTTCAGTGAAACCTTCGGGATAGTGTGTGTTGTGATACAGAGCTACCCCACCTCAGTCCTCGCACTCAACGGTGAGCAGAGACTCCGGGTTTGGTATGGTGACTGGGCTGCTCATTAAGTTCATGTATTCAAGGATAGTTTAAAAAAAAAGACTCAGGAAGATACTGAGTGTTTTATACTGTTTGCTATGGATGGAGCTGACTTAACGAAAAAAATTAATAAAATTGTCGAGTTAAGGGTAAAGATTATAAAGCACTGTGACAAACTGGACATCAGCTCATAATTCATTAGCTAGCTTGTTGCTAACATCCACCATTAGCATTCAACTACTGCCTTGATATTGCGTAAGCAGGTTATTCCTTAGGGCATTTCTTATTTTATCAAGTAACATAGTTTAGCATTTTTAGCTAGCTTTAGCACCTGCTTTCAGTGATGTATGCTAGCATGTGGCTAAATTACAGAACATGTTGTAGCTAATTGATCAAATTTGATGTTCATACACTCTTGGACTTGTGTTTTTTGCTTGAAATAGGGAAACATTTTCTTTCATAACTTCTCAATCCAATGTCTTCTCAGTTGGTGGTCAAGTGAAAAGTGGTGAAAATCAAGAAAACCATACTCAAAATATAAATTTTTAACTATCAGATGATAATATAGCTTAATAGAAAACATGCCCAATAGTTTATCATGTGTTAAAGGTGGACAAAGAGCTGTAGCTACTCACCATGAGTTGTGTTAGCTGGGCCACTCCCTCACACGCGCTATTTCTGCAGCCTCTATTTCGATATAAGGTTGTATTGAAGCCGCCAAATTTAGGTGTTATATTAAACTTCAAATCTTAATGTGGTTTGAGGAAACAAAATAGGCAGAAAAAACATTGCATTATTATTTTTCAAGATTGTGATTACCTGAACATCACTAGCTTAATATCAAATGAAACTAAAGTAGCTACCTGAGATAAGCATTAGCCTACACATTAAGTGAATGAATTTGTTTCAATCTAAAGTTAGCATCTCTTACCATCTGACCATATGTTTTTCCTTCTTATATAATACCAAAATAAACTAAATCTGACAACATTAAGCTAGCAGAGATCAAAGCGTTTCAGATAATCATTGCCTGTTGGTTGACAGCTTAATTGATTGTATCTCATTATTTGTTGTGCTGACTAAATAATATCCTATCTGTTTTTATCAGTCATTGCGTCACTTGTCCTCTGAAATCTGAAGAGTTTATAACTTGTTGCCTTACGTCTATTATCATTAAAGTGAATCTAATAGCTGCTAAACTACTAGCCTATAATTAACACAATCTGTCCTTCCCATTTCATCATTATTTCAGTTGCTAACTTTTACCAGACTTACATTGTAGCTATAACTCGATCTCATTCATTGTTGTAGTTGTTCCTCTATTTGTCTCTATCTGTTTCTTTTTTTTTTACATCTCCCTTTATCCCTAATTTCCAACCCAAACACAGTTTTCAGCAGATGGCTGTTCAGTCTGGATCTGTTTTTTCCTTGTCACTGTGACTTTGCTAAATGTTGCTTAGTGCTCATGATGGATTAATGTTGGGTCTTTGCAAATAATATATCAAATTCTTTCACCTTCTTTTTTGTAAAGTGTCTTGAGGCAACATTTCTTATGAATAGGCGCTTTACAAATAAAGATTGATTGATCATTTGATGTGAAAACACCGCAAGAACACTATTAAAGGCAAAAAATTAAAACTTTGAGACAAAACAAAACAAAAATGACTAAAAAGAGGTTAAAAACATTGCACCCTTGGTAAATGGGAACTTAACAACTTAAACCCTAAACACTTGTATTAATGGCAGGTCTTGACACAGAAATCTCTTTTGTATACAGTATACCTTTGTTCAAACTACCAGACTTATCACTGAATAAAAAGTGATATATTCTGCACACTTGCACTAAATAAGAGTGTTCAAATTTGACTCTAAAACGTATGGTCTATTGTATTGTTTCAAGCCCGTACTGTCTGTGTCAATATGCAGTAACTTCATGTGTTTAAAAAAAATTGTTTTATTACCATCACCCTCATTGAGGATTGCGTCTGTCTCTATGGCCTTCATTATTTCCCCTTTTACAAACTTCAGACTCCAGGGAGACACTTCATCCTCCAGGAGAATCACATTGACTGTAATGCCATCCACACAGTTTTGGATGCCCCGGCATGGAGCAAAAAGTATAATCCCGAGGGCACACAAAAACAACCACCACCTCCACGTTCCCATTTTCAGCTCTGATGTTCCTGCAGTTTCAAATTTCAGAGTTCTTTGTAGAGTCTGTGATCTGCCAGAGTGTATTTCCTTTAGTACAGTGATGCAGTTAAGTTTTCAAGACCTTCCTCTTTTATCTTAACGGAAATTCCAAAAATTAAATCTCGTTTTTATCCAACGTTGCCGTAGAAAAAATATTAGTATCCAGCTCCCCAAGTCCTTGTTTTACTCCGAGCTGCTTGCTTCACCTCACAGGTTCACACTCCTTCTGTTCCTCTTAGTGGCCGCTCACCTGTCCTATCCACATCAAGTTGTTAATATACAACCATTAAAGACACAGACAGGGGCAATATAACCTCCTCACTGTTATTGTGCCAAGGTCTGAATGAATTACGAGCCAGAAACACAGGCACACAGAGCACATATTAGAGCTTGTAGTGTGTGAGCAACACAGATTTCAGGAATGAAAAATGAGCATTTTAAAGGGGATGTCACAAATAATCTATTTTTTAATTCAGGTGGTCAAGGAAAAATAATGTAAATAATAGTAATGTAGACTTAAATGTTGCTTCATTAGACGGGAATTGAAAAAGACTTGCACCATGTAGCTTGTGGAAATGTATCTGTAACTTGCTCTGTGGAAAACTGTGACCTAAATTGAAAAGTGATTAGCAGTCGTTGTGCTGATAATCTGTATCTGAGAGGTCAGTTTGACTCCTTTCATTTTACAAAGATGAATTAGTATGACTCAACCCCATGTAGGTTGAAAAAAAGGATTGAACAAATACATTGCAAATCCCACAGCTGGCTGGAGAAGTGTTTTATTATTGTTTTTATGAATGCTTTATGAATAAAACAAACTTTGGAAAAGAGGCAATTTGAAATAAAACATCAGGGGTGGAAATAAATCAACTTTGTTTTGACGAGACATAAAAAGCCTTCAGTTTTTTTTTTTAACGACACATCTGCACATACCTATACAAGGCCTTCTTGGTATGAATTAACCTCAAAATTACATTTGATATCACTAAATAGTTACAAGAGGATCAAGCTTGGATAAGTTGTAAATCAATCTGGGTCAAAAATGTTATGATGGGACCAACAATGGAATGGGATTTTAAAAAGAAAATCCATGACACTTTTTGCCTTTTAAACTTTAAACACTTTCTTTTTAATTAGTTGAAAAAGTGTGAATTATTAAAAAACAAAAAGAAAATCTGACTCCATGCTTTGACAGATGACCTGTGTATTTGTGCTTGTGCCTGTCATTCTCTGAGAATCCCCCGAGGAAAGGAGAGCAAGAAGAGAAGAGAAAAGAGAAGAGCAAAGGTTGGTCAGGTCATAAAAAACTAATCCCAGATAACGTGCTATAAAAACACACACACTCCTGTGATTCAGTTCAGAGGTGTTTTGTACTGTTTATCTGTAACACTTACGCACACACACAGACACAGACGCACAGACACACCCTGCAACATGACAGGGAGACTGAACAAAGAAAATTAATCCGAGAGCTTATTATGTTCAACTGAGAGTTCCCTCACTTAAATTTAACGTCTGAATAGTCTGGTTATACACCGCCTGTTAACTGATGGTTTGAAACAGCACTGTGACGTTTAGCATCCTCATGTAGGTCACACATACGCACAAACACACACACAAACCACACACACACACACATTGGGGATAAAATGTGACTTAGCAAAAAGGTTTGTTTAGGGAGTGTGGTTTGGTTTTAAATGTCCTGATCATCAGTGTAGAATGTAACGTTGATGATTGTGAGATACTGGGAGACTTCTGAGAGAAAACTTTGATCAGATTTAGACTTGTAACAGACTAGTTTCTCCTTTGTGCTCAATAATTACCTGAGAAATCTGAAGCTTTAGTTTTGTAATAATAAAAACATGTCAAACTTTTTGGTTCCTCTGAAATATGGCTGAAATCTGCAGCTTTCTAATATAATGGTTGAAATGAAAACATCTGAAAACAGAACAAACAATCTGAATAAAGACCGAAGTCCTGTTTTCTTCTGCCCCATTATCTTAATCCTTGTGTTTGCTTTCTTTATTTTGACAACCATTGTTTGCTGTATTGATTTCACTTTACGCATCAAACATGCTCAGGTTTAGTGCGTCAAGCTAATTCATTTCTTTTCAGGTGTATTCAAGTTTTTCTCATTTTCTGTGTCATTCTGTACAGTCACAACAAGTGCTTTATATGCTGACTTTATCCTGTAACATGTGGGCCTAAAATGTCATGAACCTAGAGTGTCAACTCTAGCCTTGTAATCTTAGACTACTCCCCTCTTATCAGTCTAATGTCCTCTGAATGCCAGAGGCTGGAGAAACAGGAAAAATCAATCGGGGGGGGGCGTGTTTATGTGGTGCATCTTCCTCAATACCACTTTCCAACCCCGACACAGTTTCAGCAGTAACTTTGTACTTAATGCTCATGATGGGTTCATGTTGGGTCTTAGTAGATTTACCTGCTGTTTTGTAAAGTGTCTTGAGATAAGATTTGTCATGAATTGGCGCTACACAAATGAAGATGTATTGATTGATTGATTGATTGATTGATTGATTGATTGATTGACAAGTTCAGCACAAATTTAGAGACTAATTGTATCCAGAAGTTTTCACTGTTCTTCCTTATCAGACATACAGTGGTATGGTGACAGGTGGATCATGAACTCTGCTGACACCTAGTGGTGAAATTGATGAACTAAAGAAAAATGGCAAGATAAAAAAACGTCAAATGTTTAACAAAACCCTCTAAAATTTTGCTTTGCAAGAGTCTGAACTTAAATATGAAGGGCTGCCTGAGAGGAAGGATTCTTATTCGACAGCAGGTTTAAGCTTAATCATCAATCATACAGTCTACAATTATCAACAATAAAATATAACCTATTTACTCTTGTACTATATAGCCTACAAATTTGACATCCAATGTCCAATGATACTTCACCCTTTTTGTTTGTTGGATTTACTTCATAGCTTCTTTACCAGTACAATTTACACACGTTGAGCTTACAAAATATGATAATACCAGATCATCCAGGCGTTGAAGCAGCTGAATTTTTGCAAATTAAAAAGACTTAAATTAGTACTGGTGTCTTTTAATGTCCAACAAAAGCAAACGAGACCATCAGCAAGAAGACTGATCATTTCTATGATGATATTTTTAATATCGTTAATATAAGTGCTGCATTTTTCCATCTAGGAGTTTTGTTTCAGTGGAGCAGTGTGTGTTTGTTATTTCTGCTTCAGTAAAACAAGTAAATACTTTCCGTATCTGTAGTGTCTGGGTTGCCAGGTCAGGTCAGAGAAGGCCTGTTTCTTTTCTCCAGGATTCAACATAATCTGTGACAAAACAAGCCAAGACAATGAATGATCCCAACCAGCTGTCTGAGACATAGCAAAAAAAAAAAGAACTTTGTTAAAGAGGGCTCTTAAAATAACCGCCCTAGTTATTCCACTTTGTACTGAGATCACTGACGACTAAAGAGATGGAGAGAAAAGGAGCACAGAACGTCCTTCAAACAGTATCCTCGTATTCAAAACACAGAGCGCCACACAGGTTTGTGAATACAGTAGTAAGTTTTATTCAAACTCGACCTTAAAGACAAAAGACGATGTCACAGTGATCTGACAAAAATAAAAAGTGCTTGCGAACACAGTCAAACTCGTTTCTCTCACAGAAAAGAAACCGAACACAACAGTGTGTTACTACGTTGTCAAGTCACACTCAATGATGCATAGAACACCTGATGATGTCTCTCTGAAGGCGCCGGCTGTTACTGCATGATGAAACAAAAGAAACACAATCTACATTTAAAAAAAAAAAAATACCACAAACAGTACAAAACATGCCAATAACCAGAAACAAGACTGCTTGTTATTTTGTACATGATATAGCTAATAAAAATACACAAGGATTATGTAGAAATAAGAAACTTGTTAGGAAAGGTCGTAGTTTTTTTTTAACCTGTCGATGATGACATGACAGTAGCAAAGAGATATTAACAGGGAAGTATCATTAGAGTGAGGTGTGCAGTGTAATAGTCAAAGAGGCTTACATTTGCACAAATACTTATAAATGCAGCTTTTAATTACCAAAAAACCTGATGGTCTCATAGTTACAAATGATAAATAAGTCAATAAATAAATAACCTTTTTTTTTCAAACTCCCAACAGGACATTTTTCCTGCTCTGTTTTTTGTTGACAGTCATATGCCGTGACATGTAGAAACATATTAAGACTCCGCCTTATCCAACTTACACAAACTAAATCAGCAGTTCATCGTCCTCAGCCTGATACTGTTCTCTGAAAGTTGTTTTGATTTTTTCTCTTTATCACTTTTTTTCTTGCATAATATGAAAAAAAGAAAAGAAAGCTCGGAAGCTGCAAATAATGTATTTTACCAGCTTTATAACAACAATAGAAAATACTAGAAACTTCTTGCTATCAAAGCTTATTTTCTTTTTGCTCCACAAACAAATTAGAGAAATAGTTTAACATTTTGAAAAAGGTACATATTCACTTTTTTGTTAACAGTAAGCAATACCTCTTTCAAGCTAACACAAAAGTTTAGCTAGCAGGTGGTTAGCTTAAAATGTCCTAAAGACTGCCGTTTTTCTTTTTTTTTAGTGCATTTAACAAATAAGACATAATGTTTATAGCTGAGCTTTAGAGGTGCTGGTGCATTTTCTGTCACCTTCAGGGAACGCGAGGCTAGCTGTATCCAGTCTTTGTGCTCAGCTAGTTTAAGCTAAGCTAACAGCTCCAAGTAGCTTGACATTAAGTAGGTAAAGGAAAGTAGTATCCATCTTCTCAGCTAACTCTAAAAACAAATAGGCATCATTCCTCAATTGTCAAACTATTTTTTCAACCTTATCAAGTTAACCTGAAGAGCCATAAATTGAGAACTGCTGATTTCATGTCTTGCTTCAAACACATTCTTTATATCACTTTAAATCAAGCTGTATCTGTTATCCACTACACCCATAGATCATCACTCCATCCTCTGCCCTTTTCCTGACCTTCTTCCCTCTCCTGTTCCCTCACCCCAAACCCTCTGGCCTGGTTTCCTGTGGCAGGCCAACACAACGTCCAGCTACTGTCTCTACCACCAAAACTGAAGACCGTCATAGGAGCTGGCTACAATAATACTGGATTTCTACATTTTTCAAGTAGACAAAATACAGAAGTGCTACAACACTAAGAAGGAAAATAATTCCCTATAGGCTATTGAGCTTATTACAGCTCCTGAGGGCAAAATGCATTTGTCAGACTGAATTCCCACCGTTTTCATTTGGCAGCCGTGAACTAGCAGGGTTTTTGAGTACATCATGAAAATAACATGACTTCCTGAAGGCACAGCTGAGCAGCTGCTCCCTTGGCATTAAGACAACAGAAAGGGTCTTTACAAATGTGATTTCCTTTTATTTTCTTCTCTGTCTGTCGTTGTAAACACAGTCACAATATGGCTAAATTTTTCATTGAGATGTTGGTCACATGACTTTTGGCAGTGGTGACACAAAGCTTCCATCAGTAGGTTGCTTGGTTGTAAAAAGAGGCGACATGAAAGTGGGTCTGAAAGAGAGATTTACTGATCTGGTCCCATCAGATTTAAATTAGACTCTAAGCAATCTCAGAACTCATCGGCTATCATGCGACAATTATGTTGCTTCTGGGAGCAATGGCCAGCTTTTATGAGGCTGCCAGTGTAGCCACAGGCTAGTGATGAAGGACTTCGAGCAAAGACTTTGTTTTCTGTTTGTTGCAATAGTTTACCGTCCAAAGAGCAACATGTAAAGTGAGAATGGAAATAATGTTGAGAAACCAAATCCAAGAGCAGGTTGTTAACTGCACTTGCAAGCTGATGTTTGATCAAACTATTAATAAAAGCTAAATAATTAACTGCACTTGCAAGCTGATGTTTGATCAAACTATTAATAAAAGCTAAATAATCATGAGATGACTGCTGATGGGTCCTTGGATTGCTTTAAGGTGGATTGCTTTTCGCCCCTTTTATGGTCCGCACAGACTGTTCTCCTTCGCACAGGCATTGCCCAATAAAAAACACTTTTGGGCAATACTACTCGTACAACAAAACCAAGAACACTTTTACAAACAAAATCCTGTCACGTACCACATCTGTAAATAAAGATTAGCTTGTCTGTAATGTGCCAAACGAGTGCCAATGTAGCTTAACTGGGTCAAATTGCAGAAAAATAAGATTCAGCCTCTTCAGCATCCAAAATGTAAAACATTAGCTCCCTAACAGCAACTCATTTTCCAAGCAAAAAAGATTCTCAAGGTCAAAGTGAAAATGCTAACACCATGCCCTGTTAAGATAATCTTAACCAAGACATATATAATTAAACCATTCAAAAAGAAATGATAAAACCCTGACCTTCAAAGGAAAACATTCAAACATATACATTCAAAACCTTAATTATAATCCTAATACTCAACTGAACCAACACTTTTCATAACCATGTCATCCCAGGCCCAAGCGGAAGGCCAAGTTCTGAGTCCTCCTCTTCTGACCCGGCCCCAAACCTTTCATCCCAAAAACATAAAACCTCAAATTAAATCCTTCTTTGTCTTCGCAGCCTCACAGCTTGTATCACTGGTTTAGGAGCTGATGATCTGACCTGACCAGGTCTCATGCTTTGTGCCTGGATTCAGGTGGGTGATCACTACATCGACAGCTTGGATCTTCTGGTTCTTGGGAGGGATGGGACACACCTTGTACGTGACCTCGTCTCCTTCCATAGGTACGTACTCTCCATCAATGCTGTACAGGAAACATGAGCAAAAACAGCAAACCATTGTAAATTCATACATGGGAAATCAATGTTTTATACGTTAAATCTAATAGGCACAGAGAGTCTGAGATAGAACAGAAAGTCTCAGTAAGCACAGAAAGTCTGAGTTAGCCAGAAAGTCTGAAAGTCTGGGTTAGCACAAAAGTCTGATTAGCTACTATTAGACAACAGCTAGCCTAATAATAGCATTAAACTACTTTCTGGATAACATAACTGTTAGAATTAAAAATTGAAAAGTTTGCAAATTCCAAGCTAATTTTACATTAGCTAATGTCATGTCAGCTAGGAATTTAAGCCAGTCATTTTGTATCAAGTCATATTCTTATGCAGTCATATTATCTTTCAGACTCTTCAAAGCTAACACTGATACTATCTGGAAAGTGGCTGACTGATGTTAACTGTGGTATGACAGAGGCAAAATGGTTATGAAAAAGTTAATATTTTATAATATGGGTCAATGTTGCTCAAGATTTTTCACTTTGTATTGATGAATAGAGAAGCAATATGATTTTTATTGGCAGATACCTTGTACATAGCAGGAATACATATACATACATATATATAAGCTTCCTATCCTGGGAGTGACATCAGAGGAAAATGCAACTGTTCAACTTCCATTTCCCAAAACTCAAAGTGTTACCTGCTGCTTCCTGCTCACAAAAGGCACTCCAAATTTATACTGTGCTGCCATAAAGTTAGGGGAATGGTTGGAGACGGTGGTAATTTTGGAAAAACACTAACTTATAGTGTCTAGTAGACTATGACTAAAGCTCCACAACACAACCAACCCATCATTTCCCATTTTTGTAAATAAATGGAGCCCTGCATTAGTTCAGGCGTAATGCGGTAGTCCTGCCCGCAAGCGACCATCAGCTGGTCTGAGAACAGCTCCAATGCCAACCAATCATTTTCACAGTCTTACAACAAGGCGGTCTATTTAAACCTTTCTGCCTCTCACTCCTCTTGTATCACATCCACTCTGCTGCTAGACACGGCTGTGAAATGCTCCGTCCACCACCTCAACTTCCACCAGCTTCAGTCAGCACTTTTTATATTCTAGGATGAATTGTTTGCTTGTTATGTCTGCAAGATGTCAGTATCATTACATGCACATTCAGGTTCTGCTCTGCATGTCCCCTTGGGGGGAATTAAATGTTTGCACTCTCAGCAGAATCTGTAGCATGCTGCACTGATACTGCTGAGAGCTAAAAGCAGAACCAATACCGCCATCTACAACTGTACAAACCACAAGAGCAATAAATGATTAAATCTATGACGAGAGTATTCATGACTGAAATAGTCTCTAACACAAAACTGAGTCAACACTCGAAAAATCACTCAGACTTATTCAGGGGTAATGTTTTGAGATTTTAAGAAACTTAAAAATACTCACTCAGAGATGTGGACAAAGATGTCCTCTCCTCCGCGAGAGGGGCGGATGAATCCATGACCCTGAGACCTGGAGAAGTTTTTACACACCCCTTTGTATACTGGACCTGATCTCGCTCGCACTGTCCTGCATAGAAAGAGAGACAGAAGCAGAGCCAGAGGGAGAGAAAGTGGGACAGTGCATCATAATTCACAACAGTTATACACATATTTTGTCTTTTAAATGTTTGTTTTTTTTAATCCCTATTTTCCATCTCTCATTTTCTTTATCTCTGATTTAAATGATTTGGTCATGAATTCAAAACTTGCTCATCAATTGTCACACTCACGCTGAGTATGTGCGGGTGCGTTTGGTGGGCAGTGGGCTGGGCAGCTCTCCGGGCTGAGGCGGTTTCCTCTCCCTCTCCCAAACCCGACTGCCCTCCCTCAGGAAGGGGAAAGAGAGCTGCAGGGGGGTCCGGGGGGAGGTGAGTGGCAGCGGAGGGTCAGCTGGTGATGAAGGATCAGGGTCTGACATCTTAATTTAATTACAGGTTGGGATTTTCTTTTTTGTTGTTGTCGTTTTCTCTGCGTCAGATCTCCTCCAACGTTGCACAAAGACGAAGAAGAAGGAGGGTCACGCCTCCTGCATGGCCAGGGAGTGTGTGAGGCAGGGGAGATATGCAGAGAGGAGGTCTTCCAGGTGGAGGAGAGAAGCAAAAACTACCAGAAATAAAGAAGGAAACGAGGTTAAGCAGGATGGACGCGAGAAGTTAAGGTGGGGGGTCCGCAACAGTGAAACCGTAACTCTCCTGGTAGCGTTTAAGCTCTAAAGTGTTCCAGGGACACATTTTTTCTTTGAGTAAAGTTTGTGTATTCAGTTCAGAAAATATAAAGCATAGAATTGTTTTCGATTCTCCAACTTTGACATTTCACTACCAAACCACTGGTGCACCTTTAAAAGACATTAAAACAATATAAAACCTTTTTTTTTAATGTATTTATAAGCTGAGGTATCACACTTGTGCAATCTTATAAAGAAAAGACTCGGGCATTTTAATGAAATTGTCAGATAGGACGACACATTTAGCGTCAGGTGCTGATTTGGTGACAAATAACATGTCAACCCAAAATAATAAAACATAATGATGTGTCTTAATCAAAGTGAGACATGTTCTCTGACTGCTTTGCATTCTGGTCCTTTGAGTCTTGTAAGCATCAAAATGATGGTTAGTGCCTCTTACAAATGGACTTCTTTATGTATGACTGTTGATCATAAAAAAAATCACCTGTAACGCCCGCCATGCTCTTTGATTATGAGGGAGTGACACCAGAAGTGTTTAATCATTTGAACATATGTGGTTAGACTTCATTGTAGCTGTATTAGAAGAAGGTACATGTGATTGTTTTTACATTAGTAATACAGATAGGTTGAAAATGGCCAATTGGTTCATTTTACTAGCTTTTAATTTTTTTTTTTGTATTTCCTCCTGTAGTTATAAAAACGACCTCACAACAGCCGTAAATTGCTTTGAGAAAAATGAAAATAATGAGCAGCAGGACATCAGAGCCCCAGATTGTGACCTTGTTGGCTTTTAAAAGGTCCCCTATGGGGCGCCGGTAGCCAAGTGGTAAGTGTGCGCGCCCTAATGTACCCAATGGGGGCTATAATCCTCCAAGCAGACAGCCTGGGTTCAAATTCAACCTGTGGCTCTTTTCCCCCATTTCGTTCCCTAATCTCTCCTTCCTGATTTCTGACTCTACCCACTGTACTTTCTGTGATATAAAGGCATAAAAAGCCCAAAAATAAACCTGAAAAAAGTTCCCCTATTTTGTAAAAACAAGCCCGTTCCCAGAGGGCTCAACTCTTCTCATCACGTTCCAATAAACTCCAAAAAAACTCCCCTTTTTACGAAATGAGATCTATTACAGGATTACACCTTAAACTGAGTGTCAGAGCAACAAGCTGCTCTCTGCTTCAGATAATCATATCAGGACCAATGAGCTGGGTCACCGTGCCATGACACACACTGACATTTTGTAACTGGGAGATGTGATGTGTGTACTATTATGTAAGCAATTACTTTGACACTTGATACAAACACAAAGATTATTCTACAGGAGTTAAAACACATACTAAAACCCAGTATTTGTGTTATAGCCACCTCCCAACAAATGTTAGTATTTATGTTGTCTATATCATCTGCAGGCTTTACGTTTGACAATGGCTGATGAATTCAGAGTGTAGTCTTTCTCTGTCTTTCTTACTGTCAGTCTAAATATAGTTTGTGAGTGTGTGTTTGTGGGGAGTGGGTTGCTGAGTAGTTACAACTTCCTGTGCCAGAGGTTTACAAGCCTCTGTTGCTGTATATACAAAATAAATATTATTGATGCAGACCCAGAGGTTGTGTGAGGTTAACATGGAGAACTGTTCCATTAGCTTCTCTAATAACAGGAAGTCACATTAAAAAGAGGGTTTACAGCCAAGCTAGCTGCTCTGCGAGAGATGGTATTAACAGTGCTTTGGGCTAGACTAACGTCAACATTCCCAAAATATCAATGCTAACATAAGGATGCTAAGCATGTACCAAGCTGACTGTTCAAGTATCTAACAATCTTCGCTCGCGAGCTAGCAACCTGAGTTAGCTTTTTCTGTTCTGTGTAGCCTATGTGAATGTGCGTCAACCAAAGTGAACCTGCTTTAAAAAAGTATCTTTCTTATGATTAACATAGGCTTGCTTTTTAGTAATGATAAAGGTAATTATTGTCTTGCTTTTGGTCAATTATGCTGCCTTTTAACCAAGCAGGCATGATTTTCTTCTGTCTTCATTTCAGGTTTAAGATCTTCAATCAAAAGTCAGAAACTCATTCAAACTACAGTCATGGTAATATAGAGAATAGAGTTTCCCTAATGGCTGTACTAAATGTTTTTCAGACAGTGCATAATGGGAGTTACAAATCTTCAATATCAGGTTTGAAAGTCATTATCTTGTATAGGCTTTTAAAAGAAGCTTTTATGGGTGATACAGCACTTTCTGAGGAAGTGTTACTATTGAGTTATTGTGTGTTAGCATTCACACATCTTTTAAAAGACCTAATGGCCCTTTTGTTATTCTTTATTTGTAGAAACATATCTTCCTTATCAAATAACATGACAGAGGGATGGAAAGGTGTAAAGACAGCTTGTAAAACAATATAATTAGTGAGGTTTAGGTTGGCTTTCACAAATCAAAACATTTTTAAATAGAAGTGTTTAGAGACCTCAGAATCAAAAACAAGTGTCTCGATTCACTCTAGTTTGTATTTTAATTTGGTTGAAAGATTCTGTTTATTTGTTGTGCCTTTTTCCTCCTGGAATAAAGTTGGTAAGTGTTTGTTTATGACAAGGAAAGCACTCAGTTTTTTTTCTCTGTTGTAAGGAGCTTTGACTAAAACCATGACTGATAGATGACAAGGCGAAATATGTGCCCTAAATAATTCAGCATCCTGACTGGTCCTTTTTCATTAGCCCTCTTATTGTGCCGGGAGGCATAGCAAGTGGACCTGTTTAATGAGGCTACAGTGCTTCTGTGTCAGAAAACATTTAATCAGGAGGGTGAGAGGCTGAATGAAAAAAAAAGAAAAGAGTATGAGGAGTCAGATCAGAAACTGGAGTGAAGGGAAAGGGGGAGAAGCTGTGGGAGCTTTGAAAGCAACAGACAAAAGGCCAAAAGCACCTCCCTGTGAAACCAGGGCACTATGGCTGTTACTGCTCTGCATCAGCATGGGAGACACGTCAAGTACTCTGCAAACACACACACACACACACACACACACACACACACACACACACACACACACACAGAGAGACACACAGAGACACAGTGAGAGAGAGACACACAAACACACACAAACACACACTTTATATTAACCTTTAAAGGAGACTGCCTGTTTGTATGGTAAAATGTGTTTGAATGTGAGGCCAGCAGAGCCTAAATAATTCATTAGAAAAATAAAAGCCCTTCAGGCCGGTTGTTTCCAGAACATTCTCACACTGTGGCAGCTTGAGACGAGAAGGCGACAGGATGCTCCACTCATGGCCAAAAATGTGACACCAAAATACGTCTCGGCACAAAACACCGTTGTGTGTATATAAGAAAAGATGACGGCTCAAGTGGTCCTTCTGTTCAATGATAAAGACACATTTCATCACAATACAGCCATGCACCGTCCGCCCCTCACTCAGAATGAAAGGATTGACGTGTGAAGCTACAAATCAACCATAAACCCGATCGATTACTCACCGTGATCAGCTGTCAGCCAGGCCAAGATGTGTCCCCGCGTTAAAGATGTGATTTAAGGCAGTGATGTAATTAAAGCCGGTGAAAGCTGCGGGGACATGCGGGGAATTAGCCTAGTCAGTGGATCTTGGTATGGATGCGGCGCACACAGGCGGGATTAAAAAAAAAGAGAAGCAGCAAATGAAAAGGAGGCAGCAGAGATGGGGCGGGGGGTGCAGGGGGTTACTGCTGCTAAAAACAACAGCGGGCTTCACCACACTACAGTCCAGTCTTTGTTCTCTTCATGGATGGAAACGGATCCTAATGGTCTCCTTTTTCAGCCCTGTGAGATTTGATGTGAATGGACTGGAGCTGCTTATCTGTTTATTTAATATAATATCAGGTGATATAATATAATATATTTAGTGAATGTGTGCTGAATGACCTTTCAAAAAACATGTCAAAGTCACAGCTAAGAATACAGCAATATTATCTTTATTTTATTTTATATATAAAATGTTTCTTTTTCATTTTAAATCGATTTTATTTCGCTACCTGCCTGAAGTTACTTCCCCGTGTTTTTAGTGTTTTCATCTTTTGTTTTTGTTTTCGTTTTACTGTCATCCTATGATGTAAAGTTATCTTGCCTTAATGGAACTTTCTGTCTTCATTGTATTTTAAGCAGGGCCCACTAGTGTGAACTTGTCATGGTCACTCATTCCCTCACACCCTCCTGCCTCAACCCCTTCAATGATAGTGGACCACTTCCGGTCGTGACGTTTCTGATGACATCATCTAGACTTGTTGAGTTGTAAACATAGAAACTGCAAACCGAAGGACTTGGCTTTGTAATTAATATTGTATAAGGACTACAATAGCAATAGTTCAGATGTACAGTATGTTCTTGTTTTATATAAAGTTAAAAATGTTTATTTAGGCATCAGGTTTTGATAATGTTCTAAACACATGATTATTGTTGTAGTTTACATGAAGGGGATCTGTTGTACTGGACTGTACTTTATTGATAGGACATATTTATTATCTTTTTTCATTTCTATCAACATGTATGAGGTGTTTCAATATAAACACCTCTCGATATTATGCTGGTAATATACAATATTTAAACTATGGCCTCAATGCTAAAACGTCAAACTGGTTTGACTCCTCTATGATTGTGTCAAAATGAATTAAACATCATGGACTTCACAAAAGTAGACTTTTGTGGCAGAACAGTTGAATTGATTGTACATATGTATGCTACCTTATAAAGATCAAAAGGCACTGGGTTAAATGACAGATCATTACCATGATGGCAGGGCACGGCCATTTGAATTTCTGTTTTTTTGTTTTGGTGCCTTGAAGTTACTTCAACTGTAAGTTGTAAAAGTTTAGAAAGAAAAAGTGACCAGTCTGAAAGTAGGCTCAGTGGTTTATGTTATTTGAAATAGTGTGATAGAAACTGGAAGGTCCAGAGCACACACCCTGAAAATAGAAATATTTACACTTTGAAAGAGTATTTATTTTTGAACGACTGAAGATAATATTAAAACTTCATAATGGGGACATTTTTCTTTGGGGAGGGGGGGGGTCTTAAAGGGATCCATAACATATGAAGTCTACAAACCATGCTACAAGTGTATCTAATACTATCTAATACAGTTCAGCCATCAATTTTTCTTTTCCATGTGGAATTCCTCTTTATAAATTGTTTCCGGGGCTTCATAGCTCGTTCTTGTCACTGCGAAATTTCAGAACGGGACAATTTGTCTGAAAGAGATCTGAGAGACAAGCGTCTTATTGTGGAGGGATGACAACATCCTCTAAGCATGATGATGTAAGGCGGTTTCAAAAATATGCAACCAAACTTGTCTCCTATCTCCTTTTTTTCAGCTGCTCTACACAGCACGTTTGTTTGTTTGTTATAACCTGTTGTTTGATATTAAAGGTGGATTCTTGACCTGTCACGCTTCTGTTAAGTACAATAAACAACCACAGACACTGCTTGACGTTACACCCTCTTAGAGAATATGAAAACAAAATATACTCTTCTCTGTTAAGGTTAAGGAGACCAGATTTATTATTTCCTCCTCCTGTTTTCCACACAAGCAAGTTCTGATGTGCATATCCACTGAGCTGCCAAGACCCTCCACATATGATACAAGGATTCATATTTAACACATTTCCAGGGATAAGAAACACTCCATACTTTTCTTCCCAAATCATGAAACAAGGATGCTTTTAGTGGTTATCCTGTCTAGACTTTAATTGCAATGCTTTGTTCATGTTTCCAGGTTTACATTTCATATATTGTACTTGTGCGTTTTTAACAGAGATGACAGATCAGTGTTTCTCTCTACAAATGGAAACAAACCATACACAGATTGTAGTCACATTACTGGAGGCAGTGTTAATATATGAGATCTGTAATTGTTTATTATTTTACAACCCATTGGCATATCTGTTAAACAGAGAAGATCATCTGGGAGAGAAAAACAAAAACACGAACACTTTACATACTGTCGGTTAGAGGAAAAGAGTGGTACGACTTCACATAATGTAATGAACTTCTCCTTCACAGCTGTGTTGTGTTTACATTAGCTGGAGCAGTGACAGCAAAGATGAGGACAAAAAAATGATCTCTTTTCTGATCGGACGTAATCAAACCTCATGTTGAGGTCTTTGAGTGAATTCCATGAAAGTGAATCCATTGAAGACCAAAAGCAGCAGATACAGATATTTTTCAGGAGTTACTTGCAACATGACTTTTTCTTGGATTCAAATCTGGTAGCTTTATTATTGGGTAAAAGTCACTTGATAGGGCATGAAAGAGGACACAAACCGAATGCTGAACCAGTTCAAGAAGAATATGATTCTAACAAAGCCACGCTAGAGGTGAACCCTTTACAGAGAAAAAAAAAGCATAAATAAATAAACAATCGGCAAACAATATAATGATTTTGACCTTGTTAAGAGGGTGGGATTGTTTGCGAGGGAAGTTAAAGGATGGTGGTAGCGATTGTGTCGGGGAAGAAGAGGGTTGGTTACTGTACTCATGCACAGTATTAAAGCATCATTTTCTGTATGTTAGGAAACGTCTACAAGGGTTCTCTGAAACCGTTTGCCTGACAATATGAACTGTGATAGATAAAAACTTATTTTCTAAAAGACTGATACAAAAAATGGACTCCTTAACGCTCCTAATGTTAAAATATACAGTAACCTCTTAATGATCAATGCATCCCACTGGTTACGCTATTTTTAGATTGAGATAAATGTTGAATCCACTTTGTTCTGAAAGTGCCTAATGGACTTCCTACGGTTCCCAGAATTCATTTCAACAACTCAAAGAAACAGCTGTGTTACCTAGCAACTCCTTTATGAGTGTGAATCTAAAGAAAATGAGCTAGTTGACGAGCCCGCTGCAGTTTCTCACCATGACCACCAGGGGGCAGACAAGGCTGACCACAACAGTGTAAGAAAAGAAAGAGTGAATGTGTGCCCACACAAGCTTCTTTTGGATCCATGCAGTCATTGATACAACAACAACACTTAACAACTGATGGACCTAGAGGTGCAGCTGACGGCAGCCTCACCTGTTCAGGGTGGAGTGTAAATAAAGCTAGGGGCAGGTTGATTGACAAATGTTGGTTAAAGCAGGTAGTGCCATGCAGTGAGCAACACAATATTAAACATCCCTGTGAGAGGGATCAGTTTTTGTGCTTAGCTATTTAAACAGCTGCAAAAAAAAAGAAATCACACCAGCTGGCAGGGAGTTGTGTAATCGCTTGGGTCAAAGCTGAATGTGTCAAAGTGTGTGTATCTCCCCTTTTTTCTACAACAGATTCTGTATTCTAACCAGTTATAACTGTTTGTTTTGAAACGAAGCAGTGTTTAGTACTTTCAAGAACACTACGCACTGATATATGAAGCTTTTAGAAATATTTGACCACAGACCAGTCCCTTCTGTTCCATCATCAGCATTAGCTCGCGGCTAAGCCTGAAACTATTATTGACAACTCTTGAAGATATACTGACACATCTTCAGTCCAAACGTTGAGCAAATGCAGATGATAGAAAAAATAAACCATTAACAGCACTGACATTCTTCATTCCTTTTCTTCCCTCACAATATTCACCACCCTGTTCCCCCCCCCCCGAATATACACCTCATCCACATTTTCTCTCCTTCAATGCTGCAGCTCCTTCATCCTGTTGAGGGCGGAGCCTGCTTTGAACCATTCGATCTGTGTCTCGTTGAAGCTGTGGTTCATCTCCAGGGTCTCCTCGCTGCCGTCGCTGTGCTTCACGAGGGCGATGAGAGGCTGCAGAGAACCAGAGGAAGAGAGAAGTCAGCATAACACTAAGACGCTGTGGAAAACTTGAGGAAATAAAAAAGTAACCAGGAGTTCTCGTACCTTTCCAGGAGTGAAGGTTTTGAGTCCTTTGACGGAGATCTTGTCATCGGGGCGGATCTTGTCATAGTCTGATGGGTTGTTGAAGGTCAGTGGCAGCAATCCCTGCTTCTTCAAGTTAGTCTCTGAAAACAGGAGGGAGGCATTATTTTAATTAAGGGAACAAATAATGAAAAGTCAGTGAATGCTAAGGTCTTTTAAACAGTCTTCTCCTTTCAGATGATATCATTGTTCCATTATAGACGTTGAGCAATACCGTGAATCCTGGCAAAGCTCTTGACAATGATGGCTCTTCCTCCCAGATGTCTGGGCTCCAGGGCGGCGTGCTCCCTGCTGGAGCCCTCACCGTAGTTGTCATCTCCCACCACCACCCAGGAAACACCGTTTGCCTTTAAGAAGCAGGATGGAAAAGGTCAAAAGCCCGACAGGTAAGTATGTAATGGAAAGGATAAGGAATTTTGGATTTGTTTTTTTTTTTTGTAAATGGGACATAATGGAAAGTGGGTTTTAACTTCATTAATTACAAAATCCAGAGCAAAGTGAAAAAAAGAGGAAAAGGAATCCAAGGTGAACAAAAAATCCCAACAGTAAAAGCTCATCTGACTTTTTACAGGATATTTAATTCTCCTCTGAGAATTGTAAGTATCCTGGTTTCCTTGAATGTTTTTAAAGGTCATCTTAATGATCTGGAGGCAGAAATATCTGCCTGTAGATGTTTTAGCTAACTCGTATTGCCCCTTTTTGATCGCTTTGTTGCTGATGACTTATGACAGATTTTGATGAATGGTTCATTTTGTGATTTCTGTATTTATGTTCATTGTTGTTCAGTGTTTTATGTCTGAAACCCTGTAATTGTGCTGCTGCCTGTCTTGGCCAGGACGCTCCTGTAATTTTTAATCTCAATGAGACTTTTTCCTGGTTAAATAAAGAAAGAAAAAAAGTAGTCCTCTCAAGCAGGGAAATGTTGTGGATCAGTCAACAAGTGGTTAATCATTTTTTCACACATGCCATTCTGGTGGACTGTTCCTGTTTATCATGAGCCCTCTACCTGAATCTGTAAATTAAACATCATGCATCCACATTATATCCTGTGGTCAGCGTAAGAGGATGAAATGTAGCAGGAGTAGAACAGCCAGAAGAGAGAAGATAGGTGCTGCTCCGACCCAGAACTAACCAGAACCCCCTCCCCCTTTCACAGTCCTCACCTTGTAGTGACGGGCCACATCGGGAACTCCCCCGTACTCTCCCGTCAGTTGGTTCTTGATCTTGTTGATGCCGTCGTTCTCGCTGTTCACTGCACCGATCAGCATGTTGTTGGAGATGTTGTCCAGGTGCCCGCGGAACTTCAGCCAAGGTCCGGCTGCACTGATGTGGTCTGTGGTGCATTTGCCCTTAACCTGCAGACATAGAAGATGAGTTGAACACATTTCTATTTTCAACAAAGCTGTAATAAGACAAACGGGAAAAAAAACCATTTCAATGTCCCGACCTTGATGAGGACCTTCAAGTCCTCCAGATCACCACCACTCCATCTGTCAAAAGGATCCAGCAGCTGGAGGCGGTTGCTCTCGGGGCTGACGTTAACCTTCAGGCTCTGACCATCAGGGGGAGGGTGCTGGTAGGTGTCCTGACCGGGGTCGAAGTCCTTGGAAGGTAGTTCGTCTCCGTTGGGGGGGTCCAGCTTGAACTTCTCTCCATTAGCGGCTGTAAGGTAATCCGTCTCTGGGTTGAAGTTCAGCGTGCCGGCGATTGCGAGGGCGGTGACAATCTGAGGTGGAAGAAGAGTTGATTAATGTAGCTTCAAAGTTTTCAGCTTGTGTTTAAGTCTAGTAGCATGTAGGTCTGGTGCGAGTTTACCTCAGGGGAGGTTACAAAGGCGTGTGTTGCGGGGTTAGCATCGTTCCTGGCTGTGAAGTTCCTGTTAAAGGAAGTGACGATTGTGTTCTTCTCTCCCTTCTTGACATCACGCCTGGATGCAAACACAAAAAAAATGTATGAACTCACAAAATACCTCAGTGGAATAAAGCACATTTCACATTATTGTTAAGACTTCACCTACCTGTCCCACTGTCCAATGCAGGGTCCACACGCGTTAGCCAGGACCACGCCTCCAACATCACCCAGGATCTTTGACTGCAGGAAGAGAAAAAAAATTACGTTGTAGCTTTTGTCACATCACCCAGACTAAAAAGAGAGATAGACACATCTCCCTGCTCTCTTTCAACACTCACATATCCGTCTCTTTCGATGGTGGCACGAATCTGCTCAGAGCCGGGGGTGACCGTGAACTGAGCTTTGCACGTCAGGCCTTTATCCAGAGCCTGCTTGGCCACAGAGGCGGCGCGGCCCATGTCCTCGTAGCTGGAGTTGGTGCAGCTGCCGATCAGACCTGGAAGGGGAAAACAGTTGGATATTTAGTGAGATTCTCAAAGAGTATCTAGCCCGTTTGAAAAGTAATAACTGGAGCTGTGCAGTCTGTCTGTCCACGCTTAGCTCTTACCAACTTTCACCTCCAGCGGCCAGCCATTCTTCTCAGCCACGGCGCCTATTTCAGACACTGGGTGGGCCAGGTCAGGGGTGAAGGGTCCGTTGATGTGGGGCTTCAGCTGGAGAAACAAACAAGGAACTCAATTACTCTCAAATAAATAAGCTGAATAATGACAGCTTGTGCAGAACCTCTCTCGTGTATACATTTTGCAGTCCACAGTGTTTAAATGTAAAGGGAGTTATATGTAGAGAGAGCAGGGAGCTATCTTGACAGTTTGTGGTCTTCCAGCAATGGTAACAAACTCAGAGGAGTCCTATTTACACTGTTCCAAACAAGATCTGGATTTAATAAAAATGTGTATTGGCAGCTTAAGTGTGTCCCATGTTGAGATACTCTCACGTTCCCCTTTGCACTGCGTGTGCTTAAGACACTGTGTTGTCTGTCCTGAGTTTGAAAAAGTGAAAATTAAAATTTTCCAGAGTCTTGTGCTTCCTCTTTTAAAAGTTGTAGAACTAAATATAAGTATACAACAAATAACCTGTGACATTTCTGACTTAATAGACCATATTGGAAGAATAGAAAAACATGAACATGGTATAAAACAGCCTGCTTCCTAACGAGCTATAAAAATACAATCTAATAATAATCAGATCTTTTCTGTAAAAAGATTTTCCTCTCTGGCTACACCTCAAACACTAAATGGTGTGAAGTGATTCTATGTTTCATGAAACCCCCTCCACTGAGAACTATCCCATGATGGAAGAGAGGATTTTTAAAAATAGACAGACCTCGTCTAGATTCAGCTCGATGAGCTGGTCGTACTCGCAGCCTTCATCTGGCACCAACAAGTGAGAGTACTTGTCCGACAGGGCAGCGATATCTGGAAAGGAACCAGAGGGTACGAGGTTAAGATGTCGGACATCAAACTGAAAGTCTTTCAACCTCGTCACACACGAGCATACATTTTGGGGTTTAATTACATTTGAAGCTCTGGGATTACATTTGTGATTTAAAGCCATTTCACTTCGTTTTATTGGCTTTATTTAAGTCTAAAACAAAACTCTGCAAGTTAGTTCTTTATCTTGGATCACTGTGCTGTTCTGCTTTCTTTGGATTTTTAGACGGAGGAAAAAAAAAAAAAAAAAAAAAAGAGTGACAAGTGGGATGACAAGCAGCAATTAACCGGGCGAATTGTCCAAACAAAATGTTTCCTTAGTCTGGGTATCTTGTGATTGTTCCGTCTTTACATGTCTCTGTCTCCAAACAAGCTGATAAAAAGGTGAGAAAAAAAAAAGATTGTTGTGATATTTTAAAGGAGCAAAGCTTTCACATACCTGCACGTCCGGTCTTCTCCATATAGGTCCTCATGCGGTGGTTGTAGGGGAACACTGAGGTTGTGGCTCCAATCTCTGCTCCCATGTTGCAAATGGTGGCCATTCCTGCAAACATCAAACATGTCATTATTACTTAAGAGCCTAACAGCTGAAAATGTGACTGTAAACATTAAAGTGTTCTATAATCAGGTCAAAAATAACGTTGTCTGCTAACCGGTGCAGGAAATGGAGTCCACTCCCGGTCCGTGGTATTCCACGATGGCTCCAGTGCCGCCCTTCACTGTCAGGATGCCCGCCACCTTCAGGATGACGTCTTTAGGGGACGACCAGCCTGAGAGGCTTCCTGTCAGCTTCACACCAATCACCTTTGAGGAAGAGATTGGAGAGTTAACTATGACAAGGATGTTCAGGAGTGAGAAGAAGAACATCTACTGTTGATGTGGGGGAGGAAGAAAATAAAATGAAATAAAAACAAATTCAGTAGAAAACAAAGAATACAGACATCAGAATGTTGTTTTTGCTAACCTTTGGGCACTTGAGCTCCCAAGGGATTCCTGCCATGACATCTACAGCATCTGCACCTCCAACTCCAATGCAGATGGATCCAAGTCCACCACCATTTGGAGTATGGGAATCTGTTCCAATCAGCATTACTCCAGGGTAGGCGTAGTTCTCCAGGATGATCTGATCAGAGAGCACATTCAACTTTAGCTTGTTAACATTGCTTTGATCTAACAAACAGTGATTCCAAGGTACTGAATCAAAATACCTGATGGATGATTCCAGAGCCTGGTTTCCAGAAACCAACTCCATATTTTGCCCCAGCACTGGCCAGGAAGTCGTACACCTCCAGGTTGACTTCCTAGGATGAACAAGGCATGGTTCATTTGTTACAACATTACTTTGGAGACATCAGTATAACTGTCATGAATCTATACACGACCCTCACCTTTGCTTTGGCCAGATCGCTCACTCCCCCGGTCTGGGCCTCGATCAGGTGATCACAGTGGATGGTGGAGGGCACGGCCACCCTGGGCAGGCCGCTGCTGATGAACTGGAGCATCGCCATCTGGGCTGTGGCGTCCTGCATGGCGACACGGTCCGGACGCAGGCGCAAGTAAGTGCGACCGCGATCGATATCCTGGTTGTGGGGGTCATCGAGGTGGCCGTACACGATTTTCTCTGACAAGGTGAGAGGACGGTTGAGTCTGGACGGAAAAGAAGAGAACAAGGTTCGTTTGAGTTCACTGTGAAGAGGGAGAAAGTTTCAGCTGGAAACAAATGATGATGATAAGAATACAGTTAGAATAAAAACTGACCAATCAAAGAAGCTAAATAGATGTGGGGTTTGATACAGTTAGCTGAACGTTTTCGTATTATAAAACGTTAGAGCTGAGGTAAAGTAGTAAAGCAAGTGTTGTTAAACATCATTCACCATGTCAACCAAACATCTTATTTTCATCTCACAGTACAATGACATTACAGGTTATTTAAGGCTACTTTAACCCTTCATTTTTGTCATCTTATAATTAGAAGTTTACGCCAGTCTACATTTTAGGAGTAATTACAGGGCTATAATAACAGAAATGGTTGATTCTGTTCACCCACCCCTCCTCCCTCTTCAACGTTACCTATGTTTAAGTACAAGCAAACACAAGAAGAGATCTGAAATTCAAACAGATAAGGAAGAGTTGTATGAAGGCGATGTGAGCAGGGGGGCAAACGTATATTAGATTAGGAGAGCACTGACCTTTTTTGCACAATGTCAACATTTGACTGGAGATTCTCATAGTTGACGAAGGCTGTGGGCTCAAAGCGGCTCATAGACACATTGGCCTTGGCTCTGTAGGCAGCTGACACATGCAGGCGCCGCGCACCATGGCCCAGAGCCAGCTGGAGACAATCAAGACAAAAACATAGAAATATGAGCAAAATACTCACAGCGCTATAGAAAAAACATATTCTGTCCACATACAGAATAAAAACAAAAATCTAATAGATAAGATTTCAACAAAAAAGACTTGGAGTACAATACAATATCTTTATAGAAAATAACATCCTTGATGGGAGGCTAGCTTGTGAATGCTGTTCTGCTATCAGCTCTCCGGTGTCAGATATCAGTGTGACACCAGGTGAACGAGAGGCCCCTCCTTAACTCATAAACTCTGTGGGCACATTATAAAAATGTACATGATTGATAGTAAAGTCAGGTATTAAAAGAAAAAGCATGACAGGGCAGTAGAGCCCATCAAGTTAGATAAATGATGAACTTATCAAACGAGACAAAGCGAGAATAAGCTGAAGGGTTTCAATGACCTGACAATGTGGGTCAAAGAGGAGCTGACAAGCCAGCAGCTGAACCTACAAACATCACTCACTTGACTTTTACTGTCAAAGACCTAATAGCACAGATCTGCTGTCAATCACCTGAGCTAAATGCTAAAACGTGAATTAGACATCAACCACGGGCCCAAAACAGTTCAAGTAGATGTCACATTTTGGTTTCAATTTGTTTTTTTTAACACTTACAATGACTCAGGTGTCACACAACACTTTGGTTGTCGTGATTTCTCAGGCCTACAGAGATTTTATCTGTCAATATTAAAACCAGATTTTCATGTTGTCTGCTCTATTTCTTCTAAATCATCCGAATGGAGTCCACATCAAAGTAAGTTTGTCTTTTTCTAGATACAAATTGAGACTCAGAAATGTGTTGATGTCAGAAAGATTTGTAGTGAATAGTGAATTGTCCTGATTTTGTTATATTGTCTACATGTCCTGTTTTGCTCTATTTTTATGTTTTCAGTGTTTGTATGTCATTTTCAATTGGGTAAATTTTATTTGTGATAGTAAATATTCCTACTTTGTTTTTTTTACTGTATTTTATTTTAACTTTAATCTCTTAAGGTGAGGTTTTGAGATAAGCCCTCCTGGGTTTCTACCTCACCTGCACATGTGTTTTATTTATTTATTTATTTAAATTTTCTGTTTGACTCTTCTTTCAAAAAAATGTGCAAATAAACTAAATAAAGTAAACAGAAGTTGTTCAGTCAGAGGTCACATTGTAAACACCTCCAGATCCGTTATCTTCAGCTCTGCTACTAAATAAATCACGACAGCCTCAAATACCAGAAAGAGCATGTACCCACTAAACCTGACTGAACTGGTCTGTCATATTAAAACAGTCTCTAAATGAACTGGTCAGTGTGGTTTGCTGTTTTATTTTCTAATGGTCATGTAGTCGACTCGCCCTGTGCCTGCTGGGAGCTCTAACCTTGTGGTTAACCTTGCTAAGAAACAACCAAACTCTGCCTCTAACGCTGAACCACCTGCGTTCATTAGAAAGTTGAACGTATTGTTAACTAGTTAAGAAGTTAATCGTGTTTAATTCGCCTGTGACGAACCAGCTTTTCCCCACTGGATGTGATCAACGCAGTCAGGACACGATGACCTGACGACAAGTCCATGACTGTTTAGCAGGTTATTTACCCTTACAAACCCGCTCTCTGAGCTCCAGCATTGCCAGTCTATCTCTACTTTAGATGTATCAAACCTAGAACAGCAGGTGACATCATTAATTGTTGTGGAAATTAGGTAAAAATGTCAAATTTCTTATCTTACCTGGAGCCGGGCAACTGTAAGACAGTAGGTTGCCATTTTGTTCACTGACAAAGATGTGACGGCGGATCGTGACGTCACCGCTTTGTACGCTGCGGCCTCGCAGGTCCTTTAAGGACAAAATATTAACGAGACTTTAAATTTTATTAAAATGATGCTACATTTAATATCAACACATACATACCCAGCCCCCCTTTGACATAATTTCAACAGTCAGTAAAGTCATTTTAAAAAATTAGTTCATAAAGGACAATATTCTTTTAAAGAATATTTCTTGTATATAGCTTCCAGGGCCTTTTCTATCACTTCTTTACAGAAGTAAACCCTGGAAAGAAAGACACATATTTAGATTAAATTAATAGTTTAACTGTTACTGTCGTTTAATTTATTTTTAAGGCTAATATGGAGAAATATGCATCATGGATGTATATCACTCGACAACTTAGATTGTAAACTCGACAATAATTTCCCTTTTCCTTCGTCCTGGAGCCGCTAGGTGGCGGTAATCAAACTGCTCACGCAAAGTTTTTCGGGTCAAAGTTCATGAAGAAGAAAATCAGCAGCGCTGCGTTTGCTTTACGTTAGCAGACAATGGCTAAACATCATCCAGATTTGATCTTTTGCAGAAAACAAGCCGGCGTCGGTATGTTTTGATCTATAATTTACCATATATTACTTAGTACTGATTTCTACCTTGCAGCTTGATGTCTGGTTTTGCTGTTTCTTCGAGATAACTTTAGCTTCTATGCTAACATTTAGAGCATGGGTTTCATTCAAAGTATGTTAGCCAAGGTGCTAACATGACGCTATTCTTATGTCTTATGTTTAAGTTTTGCAGAATATTAACAGATTGTTTTCGCAATCTACTGTTATGTAAATATGAGAAACAACTGTTTATTCTGATCTAAAGCAGCTCAAACACTAACTATTTGTTTTCATTCCTCAGCTATCGGGAGACTTTGTGAGAAATGTAAGTGTTTCCCTCTTAATTCAACCCAGTGTGTAAACTTTAAGTCATTATTTATATTGTAGCGTTTGTAATTGTTAAGTGCAGTTTGTAAAATAATTATACATTATCACAGTCACACACTCCCTCACTGATGTTAAACTAGAAACCAAGAAAAAAGACAAAAAAACAACAACCTTCATAAGGAACAATTTAAGATTGAATACTTATAAATATCTGAATGAAACAATGTGAGACTTCTGTAAATTGATGCACACAAATAACAAGATAAGGATTCATTTCTTAATTAAGTTTTGACATGTTTTGGTTCACATTATTTTTCAGTCACCTGCTGTTCACTTTGAGATCTCTCATTTGACTTTCCTGATGCCAAACTGTATTTTTGTAAACCCTCAAAGAGTGACTGTTGGACTTTGTCATCGTCGTCTTATTTTGTATGTTTTGAATAAAGATAACAAGATTTATTTCAATATATAAAGCAAGAAAAGAGAATAACGTTATATCGCCCTCAAACAGAGAAACAAAGTCAAAGTCAACTTTATTGTCAATTTTCAAAATATGCCAGACATACAGTGGAATCGAAATTGCGTTTGTCTCCGTCCCGCGGTGCAATACAACCAAAATAAGATAAAATAGATAAAGTAAAATAAGATAAATAATATTTACAGTAATAAATTCTACAACAACAACAACACAATTAATCAAAAACATTTCATATTCAAAAGGTTCCAGGGTTACTGGCTCCTGAGGTAACAAAATGTGTTTTTAAAAACCGAGTCATTAGAAATCATCATATTGTTATGTTTATGTCTTCCTTTGTGATCAGTAAAAGATTCAGAAAACCACTCCATGCATCGCTGTATTATAACTACTGACCACATTAAAACCTAAACCGGTGATTTTAGATCTGACATGTTTAGTGCAGCAGCAGTGGAGGAAAAAAGTGTTTTAAAGCTTTGTCATTGGAACAATAAGTCATCTGTGCTCCTTTCCCCGCTCCTTCTAAGGTGACGGTAAATGTGTCATCTGCGATTCCTATGTGAGGCCGTGCACGCTGGTACGCATCTGTGATGAGTGTAACTACGGCTCCTATCAGGGGCGCTGTGTCATCTGTGGAGGGCCTGGAGTATCTGACGCCTACTACTGCAAAGAGTGCACCATCCAGGAGAAAGATGTGAGCACACTGTTTGTAATTGTTTCTAAGCACAGAAACAGCTCATATTCATCTTTTTAACTTGCAATAATTTGGATTTAGAAAGCTAAAGGTAGTAAGTGTTACTTACCCACCGTTAATAAAACAACTTTTTCTCCTCTTTGTTTCTTTTACAGCGGGATGGCTGTCCTAAGATTGTGAATTTGGGAAGCTCCAAAACAGATCTGTTTTATGAAAGGAAGAAGTATGGTTTCAAGAAGAGGTGAAGACGCTACATCCTGGTCTTTGTTGTGGTTGTTTGGCTTTTGCAGATTTTTTTTTTTTTTTTAAACCTAGAGAAACTTTTTTTTTTTTTTTGACTTGTCAATAAAGCTCTCTTTTGTATTTCCTTCTTTACCTCTGAGTGGCTGCTTGGTATTGATACTTTAGTATCCTCATGGTCAGGCTTACATGAAGTCCAGCTACAGGGTGTTACAACCCCAGAAAGGTCAGTAACAAACCAGATGGTGTACTATAAATGACATGGAAAATATAAAGACATTGTAACCCTTTCATAGACTTCATTCAGCGTAAAGTTGTTATGAAATCTTTAATTGTGCGTCACAGACAGCTGGTTGATATTGATTGCATTTAGTTTTCTGTTATTTGCTAAACATAATTATGTCAGCCATTCACATCTACATCAAAGTTCACTTAGCAAAGTCTTGTGTCTTTCATGAACCAGATTTCATGCACCATTCAGTTACTTGTGTTAACTTCTTCTGAGACAGTAGTGATACAGTGTCTCTTTGTAGAGAACTGTCTAATATGCTCAACAGCGCCTGACTCAGCTTTGTTCTGCTCAAGTTATGAGCAGTGTGAAACTTTGTTCTCTCTAAACTTCCTCCACCAGGTGGCAGCAACCAGAGACAATCCTTATTAGAAAAACATTTTTACATGTCATTTAAAGAGGGCCAGGTATGGCAGCAAAACATATGGGTTTTTTTTGTCCTCTAAATCAGGGGTTCCCAAACTTTTCAGGTCGTAACCCCCAAAATAAGGGTGACAGAAACTGGGGACCCCCCCACTGTTTTTTGAGGTGTTTAGTTAGGTATATGACGTAGCAACAGCCACACACACACACTAATAAACCTATCCAAAAAGTAGTAACACAAAATAATACAACAGCTTAAAAACTATAAAAAATGTACACATTCATTTCCGTTTCACTTAATGATACTGTCTTATATGACATTGGACTACTTTTTGTGCATTTATAAAAATGGGTAAAATTATATACTTATGCACTTTTAAATGATATTTTAATTTTTTATGGAAGGCATCTTGCGACCCCCACTTTGGGAACCACTGCTCTAAATTATAGGCTCACTTACCATAGTATATCATTCTCTACTTTGTGTTGCTGGAGCCTAACCCAGCTTTCTTTGGGCAAGAGGCGGGGTACACCCTGTACAGGACGCCAGACAATCATAGGGCTGACATGTAGAGACAGACATCCAGCCACACATCCATCGGGCGATTTAGAGACCAATTAACATAACAAGCATGTCTGGACTGTGGAAGGAAGCCGGAGTACCCGAAAGGAACCCACTCATGCACAGGCAGCACTTGCAAACTCTTCCGAAGGGGACTTGAACCAGGAACCTTCTTACTGAGGGGCAACAGCTCTAACCACTTCACTCAAGCAACCTGTCAAAATCATTCCAAAGAAATAAAGTAACACAGCACTGTTAGACTCTGTGAGCAACACTTTATTTTTACATAATGTATATACAAGACACAAAAGGTAGCCACACTCAAAATGTCAATATGTTTTAATACAGAGAAATATAAAGACAGAACCAGGAAGGTTAGAAACAACCCGCCCCCCAATGTTAACAAATTGACCTGTTCCAGATAAAAGTCAGATGACATCTTTATTACAGCAGAAAATATTTAATAAATGATTAAGGAAGACCATTATCATTCATGATAGAACTCTGGTAAATATAGATATTTTATAATTACACTTGTGATTTATTCTGACTGAAATCAGAGACGCTGGGAGTAAGAGCACTTCCACAGAAATCTGTAGAGACAATCGTGTCACTCCTCACTTTCACCTCAAAAACTGAAGTGAAATCAAAAGAAGTTTTACACACTGCAACAAAAAGATATTTGTTTAAAAAATTCACGACAGAAGTGTATTTTTTTTTCCTGTAATAACATTCCCCACACTCAAAAAAACCCTTTCCGCTTCCATAATATTGAATGTATTTTGGTTAAAAGTCACTGCGTCTAAGAAAGGAAGCACAGCAGAACAGAAAAACAAAACGTTCCCTTTTTTTTGTTAGAAGTGGACAGAAAATGTACCCTAGTGTTAGTAACACGTTTCATGTGATACTATGTTATTCATTATGTCCCCTGTAAACTGGCAGACTGTGCACTGCATTGAAATGGCTTTAAGAGTTAGTTTGTTTGTTTGTTTTTTTTTGGGGGGGGGGGGGGGGTGTGTCCTTGTAGAAAACAGATGCCCTGATAAAGTCTGCACCTACTGAGGCTACACACGTTTGTCAAAATGAATCAAATAAATTAGACTGCAGGAGAAACCGCCAGCTCACAAGCCTCTGAAAAACACAGATGACATTCAGACAGAAATGTAAAACAAGATGATTGAGAGAAATGTATACCCTGAAACAGCCTCATAAACACTTCATACATTCCCATGATATTTTCTATTATATGTATTGGAGAATATTCCGTTTTTGTGATTCATGAAGCTTTTTTGATTTAACTAGCGACATACTTCATTCTGAGCTCACTTCTCTTTGGCTCAAGAGTCAAACATTTCCCCTTCAGCTGCCTTTGAATAAGGCACTGATTCAAGTCCTGTAAGCCCCTCAACCATCTACCTTAACCACACGTCTGAAAACATTTAACATTCTGTTGTTGTGAGTAGAGGTCAACTCATCAAGGAGTGAATGGAGGCTTAGCGGCTGTTCAAAGACTTTACTAGCCTTTTCTTAGGCTTTAATGTCATGTGAAACTAAAGTGGAGATAGACCAATATTATGCTACAACTATTTACAGTTAATGCACGAGAGGACTCTTCACGGGACATTTCCAAAAGCATTAGACACGAGAGGACGAGTCAGCACTGAACACTTGTAGAGAGTGAGGCAGGCGACTACTACGGCACAAGAGCGACAGTGAGACACAAACGCACAGAGCAGCTCTGTGCCGCCGACGCTTTACATGAAGAGAAGTGAACATAGCTGTATTTTTTTTTTTTGCCATGTCACTGTTATACCCTGAAGAAGCTTGATTTATTGGAAATGTCACAGTCAAAAGTTTTGCATCTCTGAACGCAATGATCTCAATCAAATATGGAAAGAACTGGAAGCAGGCTGCTAATGTGTTTCTACAAAACTATAATATATGACTTCTAGTCAGAACTATTCCAACTGCTACTTTATACTACCCATTTCATTTAAGAATGAAAATAAAACCCACAGTTCTCCATAAAAATTAAAATGAAACATGATCTCTTACGGCTGAAGGCATACAAACGTCATAGGCAAGGACTCGAAACTCTTCTCTCGATGCCAACCTCTCACACGGATGGGTAAAAACGATTCATTAAAAAAAAAAAAGCAAAAGAAATAAAACATACAGGCAGGCATCTGGCTTCTAAGCACTATTGCCATGGCAACATCAGTCACACCCTAACACATGCTCTCCTCCTCTTCGTCCTCTTCTTCATCCGCTCGATTCTAGTATTTTTGCACACCATCCCCGACTGGTTGGATTTATTTATTCATAGAGAAATAAATGAATAAATCAAACTGTTGTCTATTGGTCTTCCGGCATGGCGCTTGAAAGAGAAGAGAAAAGGGATGAATGACAGGAGGAAGAGGAGGGAGAGAGGTCAACATTTTACTAATCACAAGGTCACATGGATTCTGGTTTTGAACTCAATACATCAGTCCTATGAGAGTATTCCTCTCCCTCCCCTTCCTGTGGCTAACTCTCCCCGTACAGCTGTTCGGTAATTCTGTAGAAAACCAGGACCACAGTGTTCACAAAGTTTCTTTTGTTTCAATACCATCAGTTTGAAAACCATGCATGTCCATCCCCATTATATCATTGACCCATAGTATACAAAAGTGCTGAACCTTTAAAAAAAAAACCCATCTCAAATCTTATTCTTAACCCAACGTGACCAAAAATATTTGGATGCTGAATTGCACAACTTGCAATTTTTGGTAATTAAAAAAAAGAAAACTACCCAAAATGAAGTGTATTGTTGTTGCCGTGGCATCAAAACAAGTATAAATTATGTTTTATACTACAATCGTATCGAGGTTTCGAATTCTGGTATCATGACAGCCCTAATCAGGACTGCTTCTGTGTTTTCCCTGACGTGTGGAAACTGATGCTGTGCTGTCTGCTCCAGTTACACTCTCATGGTCCCTTACAGTGGTCCAAATTTGTCCTCGTAGCGCCCGGCGATGTTCTTGTAACGGGTGGACTCCTTCCGTAGGTCGGAGACTTCTGACCTCAGCGCTTGGTTCTCGCGCTCCAAGAAGGCTGCTCGCACCGTGATCTGGTTCTCCTTTAACCTGCGGGCGTCACGTGAGCGCTTGGCTGCCACGTTGTTCTTCTTCCTCCTCTGCCAGTACTTGTCATCCTGGAAGGGGAGAGGAGGAGAGTAAATCAAGAAAAAAAAAACACCAGATCCTGACATTCTTTCTGATGACACCCAAATGAGTAACATGGCCGACATCCAGGCTCCTTTGTGCTGTAAACAAAGCCTGTGTTCTCAGGCAGTCCGGAGAGGGAAGAAAACATTGATTTGAAGATTTTCAGGCTGCTGAGTCATTGTGACTCTCCAGAACTGTAGAAGTGTTGTGACTGTGACGAAGCTTGGTTTCTACCCTGATATCTGATTGTCTTATTTACAATATGTTGAAGCATGCCTGCCAAGGGTTGGTCAAAATCTTCAGGCACATTTTAGCCCAAGTCCTAAACTCAATCACATCTAGCAATGAATGTTCCACAATGTTCCCTGTAATCTTTTTCCTGATTTTGTCCTAAATATCCAGCAGGGAATCATCCTCATTCAGCTTTCTTTTAACCTAATAATCTATCATTGTAATGTTTGACCATCGAAATGTAAACCTAAGGGTGTTTCAGTGTGTAGCTGCCTCATTTGACACCAACCAAGTAGCAGAGTGGACATTAAATTACTATATAGAAATAATCAATCTTAATATTCCTCATTGTCTCGTTTAACTTGCATGCCATCATTATCATTTCTGTCTTTTCATAACCAACTAAAAATAGGAAAGGAGTTTTTATAAACACATGAGCCAAAGTCACAACATACACTCGTTTACAGTTGTCTAAGATTAGTCC